CTGGCGAGATGTTGCTGTTGTGATATTACTAATAATTGTTGGTTTTGCACTGGTCTATCTATCTGTTCGATATTCACTGAAGAAGAAATGGAAACAACTTCAGTTGCTTCGATCATTAGTGTATCATTCTGCGCAACAGCAGCGACATGAATCTGAACAACAGCAAGTGTATACTGTCTCAAATGATTATGTAAGCATTCCGATAACCCAATCGTGTGAAGAAGGATTCAGGTCATCTGCTCGTCGTCTTCCATAATCATCGTACATTTATACTTGTTACTGTTTGTGAGAATGGTCTACACTGCTTCGTTATTTTCCTATATATGTCCGAACACCACAGTGAACATATCAGTCTGCCATCATAGTTAATTACATATAAATAATCACTGCATCGAGCGACCATCTTTCTTTTCTTTCTTCTTCCTTTACTAACAGCATACTCCTTACATTTTTTTTTCTTTGGTTGTAATTGTTTTTGTTCTTTTTCTTGCTTTCCTTCCCCTTCAATATTCAAATTTATCATTTTTACTATGCTTATAATGAGCGCTCCGCGTTTCGATAGCATGATATAGTTTATTTATATACTTTTCTTTAATAATAAATAGTTTATACCAAATCCGTCTGTCCCATGGACAAGATTTATAAGCTTTTTGTCCCGTATTTTTTTGAAAATACTTTTCTGCTGTGATAAACCGTAACTGTTACAAGAGACGCTTAAAGCCTTACGCTCACTTCTGCAAAAAATCGGTATGACGAAATTTAAGCTTAATTTGCTTGATTCTAAAATTAAAAAAATGTTTTACATCCACTCACTTACTACCGCAGAACCGGAAGGAAAGAACTGTAAACCTAGTTTATATATGGAACATCTTCTCAATCTTCTTAAATTCAGACTATTTCACCCCACCAGGTTAATTTTTGTCTACTTGATGGGGAATTGAGAAGTACGCCAATATGACTTTCGTCAAACTGGAAATTCGCCAATTAGCGTAGGTACATTGAACTTCACCAGTACACTCTACTGCCGCTCGCACTTGGCGAAAGTCTAGGTGGCGTACCTCCATGATTCCGGTTGATGTTGTATGGACTTCAGTTTAATAATGAAAAAAGCGATTTGTCTACGATAAACATCGTTGTGCTTTTTTTGGTTCTGAAAGTGTGTATTTACTTTTGATGTGACTATATCTATATTTTTAGATTAACTGTGCTCCACTCGCCTTTTGTTTTATCATTTTATTTTATATTGATCTGCCATGGTCAACACACAATTGCAAAAAAGGTATACGCATGATTGCGGATTACAATAGTTGTACAACACTCGATACGTGCTCCAATGAAAGTACGAAATTGACTGATGATTTCTACTCACAACGTCGTTGTAGTTACACGCAGTCATACTGGTACCCAGAATATGATTCAACGGGAAATACACCAGCGATTCCTTATATAGTTTACATTCGTCAAGAAGGTTACATAGTTATATGGATATATGTCTATCATCATACGTTCAAGGGACATTATGTGAACGAAATATCTATTGCGGTTGCCTTGTCAAGGCTCACACGTGGGAATTATTGCTCAGCGACGGTGAATATTCAAATAACTGTCAAAGGTAATAGATCCTATTAATAGAGCAGCATTCTAGGCCCGATTTTATTCTTGTTTTTTTATACAGGATATCTGATCGTTTTATTGAAACAGATCAATCCACTCAAAGAAACGTCGAAAATAGTCGTCTTCATGGAATTTCATCTTTTTGTCTCAAAACCGATACTGGTCGAACAGTAAGTGCAAAGTAAACATCAGGTTCGTAACCAGCGTCGAATTCTGTCTCTAAAGAAGTATATTTACTTTTAAATGAGTTGTTGGAAAATTTCGTGTTCCAACCGGCTAGAAATTGAGCTAGAAATGAAAGCTGTTGTTGTAGAAAATTGAATGCGCCAGTTTGTTCAGAATTCAGAACTTATTACGAAAATGTACTTTTACGAAGTTTAAAATGTGAGAAAATAGAAAAAAGTGGAAACTTTACCTAAAACTGAACTATCGTAAGATTATGAAATTCCATGACGGCGTTTTCTACTGTTTTCACACTCAAAACCCAACAAACTCCAAAACAGACTAGTTCAGCAGATAGGCGACGAAGAGATGTATCACAGTATCAGGTTAATTTTTCCAAAGCTGATGATCTCAGCTTATACAATGTAAAAAATGGAAATTCCGTCACGGAATTTAACCAAATATGCAGACAATTTGTTCGCATCCTGACGTCATAGGGAACGTTCTATGCGTTCGCAAACAGGTTTCTCTGAAAGAACGACTCGAACTCTATCTAGACATGCCAAATATTAACTTAAAAAGTCAACCTCGTGACTATTTTCCTATTTATTTATACCCCTTGTTCGCCTTACGTGGTTTGTAAATGCTGCGAGGTAGAGATTTAAAAATTTTTCGAGCCTAGATTAAAATCTAAGCCTTGAGCAGCTGCGGTTTTATAGGTAATCGACATCGGTCTTTCGAATGGCTGAATCAGTTTTGTCCGTTTTTGTATTCACATCTCCGGTTTTGAAGGCGACCGTTAGTTGGCCAAACCGTTTTGTAAAACAAAATTTCTGGGCATAGAAATGTGTCGACGAAATTATTAAAATTTACGTAAATCTAAACATCGACAAATGCCTGTGGATCCTGTTTTACGATCCACGTTCTAAAACGTTAGCATCTCTTTCTATCAGTATAAATAACACCAGAATTGAACGCGTTTATTCACTGCACTTACTTGAGATAACACTATCGGCCACTACAGGTCGGATAGAACATCTGGACAGAATCGGTATACATCATTGGAAAAGGTTAGGTTCGATTTCACTTGCATTTGATCCTTTTTGGAATATGCCTGTGTTATTTCTCACTCCGCTTTTACAGGTCGTTTATTTTGAAACAATTTGTATGCAGTTTTTCTTTACAAATCGTTTCAGAAAAAGGTTTTTTTTTATTTACATTATATATTAACGACAACATGTGCTCAGCTTTTCTTTTTTTTACATACAAGCGAAGAGCTTCGTCTTGCGCTATAAATAAACTTTCTAATATTTAAACATAGCAATAAAATATGGGTAAATCGGGGCAAGCCCCGTTGTATGCCCATGAGAGAGAGAAAACAAAAGGCAGATCATTCAAAAAAAAATCCATTGAGAAAAAAAAGAATGAGTTTACATTAAAGAAATATCGTATGTGTGTATAATAGATGACAAAAGGAAGAGCTTAGGAGTAGATACATTGATCCATGTGTGCCAGTGGGATAAGAGAAGATAGCAATAATAGGGCCTTAAGGCATAAACCGCGTTTTTCGAATAAACCGCGTCTTAAGGCATAAACCGAGTTTTTCGAAAAGCTCGTTCCTCTGCTGGTCGTAATGTAAGCAGAGTAAAAAATAGTGAGTGGTGCTTTCCTTTTCTCCCAAGAACAAAGTGGTGATGGGACGAGTTTACGGTGATATAAAGGCTCATTCAGCTGAGGAAAATCAACCCGAAGACGGAGATGGTGAATTTCAAGTCGACGCTCAGAGACTAGTGGTAGTTTCAACGCAGAAATAAAGCTAGCCGTCAATTTAGATTTAAAAGTATCAGCCCGATGAGTATACTTGATGTCATCCTGCAGAAGATTCCAAGAAGCGCATGCTTGCCTGATAAATGATCTATCTACGAACTGTCTACCTCGTGGAATCACTGGGATCATGTTGCGACTACGCTGCGAGTGGCATAAGTCAACTGCGTATTCACTGGTATTAGCTCCTTTAGATAACTAGCTGTTTTTCCATACATTATTTTGTGAAACAAACACAATCTACGAACATAAATAAGGTCCTGGATTGCTAGCCATCCCAAGTCGTACAATATTTTTTCATATGATGTTCCTCGCATGGCTCCAGAAACTGCTAAGGACGCTTGATACTGTATCTGGTTTAGTCGATTTAGGTCAGCAGCATCTGTCCCTCCGTATATAACTATCGCGTAGCTTATGACACTAAGAATAAAAGCCTTATACACAGAATCAAGAGTTTGTCTTGAAACTCTCCTACTCAGATATTTCATCGAGCCAATTACATGTGAACACTTTACTACAATGCTATTTATATGTTCTTTCCAACTCAAATTAGGTGCCAGTATTAGCCCTAAATGAGTGTGCTTATCGACATAATCTAACTGGATATTGTTAATAACTAATGGTGGAGCTGTCGCCAACGGATCTAGCGTAAACAACATTCCTGCACACTTTTTCACATTTAAAAATAGTGCCCATTTCACCGACCGTGCAGCGATGTCAGCAAGATCTTGATTCATAACTTTGACAGTAGTTGTGATGTCAGTTGCGGTTATGTATAAAGACACGTCATCTGCAAATAATTTACAAGTTGATCTAACCGATATAGGTAGATCATCAATGTAGATTAGAAAAGGCAATGGTCCTAATACAGAGCCCTGGGGCACTCCGCACGTCACAGATAGCTTATCCGATGTATTTCCGTCAACTATAGTCACAATGCGTCTGAACGATAGACAGCTGTCAAACGATCGAACCAGCGAATCAGGTAATCCCTTACTGCGAAGCTTAACCAGTAGTTCACTATGTGAAACCTTGTCGAATGCCTTACTGAAATCCGAAAACGCTGCTAGTACCGGATTTCCCTCATTCAAACTATTAGCAATAAAACCAGCTACTGAAATTAGTTGATTCACAGAGAAGTCGTGAGGTACAAAACCAGACTGGTTTTTACAAATTAAGTTGTTGATTCTTAAAAAACCATAAACATGTCGATAAATGATTCGCTCAAAGATTTTTGATAATGCTGGTAAAAGTGTAATGGGCCAATAGTTGTTTGATGATGAGTTGTTCTTTTATTTTCATTGAGTCAAGACGTACCTCTTAACTTAAATTCTTTCTCTTCGTCTTCTTCGTCTAAGCTATATACGTTGTCTGTCAATTTTATATTGAATACTGTCATCATGACAAGAGGACTAAGTAAGAAACATCAACAGTCATCACAGCAAGATAAAGATATCGGTATTGATGTACACCAATTGGCAAGACAAATATTTCAATCAAAAGAATTTATTGAGGGCGTATCAAGTTTGATTAAAAAAGCTATTGCACCTTTACAACAACGTATCAAATTACTGGAAGATCGTTTAGAAAAATTAGAATCAAGTCATAATCATTTAGCTACATATGATCGTCGTTTAAATCTTCGAATACATGGAATTCCAGAAGTACAAGGCGAAAATGTCGAACAACTGGTGATTGATACATGTTCAAGTATAGGTGTCAATATTACATCTGGTGATATTTCTGTGTATCATCGTTTAAAGATCGTGACCTCAAGGAAAGTACCGGATTGCTCTGTTCTGTTTCGAGAATTGGATTGTTTCGTTTTGGGGGAAGAATATTGAGAGAAATATCACTATTTTATTTTAAAAGAAAACAACGCACTTCGCCACTCAGGACCATTGTACGGAGTGCAATGGTCCGGAGTGCTGGAGTGCACTTTTTCTCCCTTGCTGTTTTCACCTTCTATTAAAAAATTCACTATTCACTCAATAAACATCAGAACGAGTTCAAGACTTCAGAATGTAGTATTTAAGCTATTCTATATCCTATTTATAGGAGGTCTCAAAAAAAATTTTACAAAACTCTAAGGTTTTCCAAAAGGGTTTCTGGAACATCCATTAACACAAACATGCTTTTTCGATTTTTTCGATCTTATAATCATGTTTAGCGGAGAAAATTAACCATATCCTGAAGGTCTGAACCAGGGGTGTTAATTTAGTGTTACTTTGGAAAATAAATGTAAATGAATCATTTATACTTAAAAAATAAATGTAAATAAATGAAAAAAAAATTTATCTTTATTTTATAAAAGTAAATGATTCCTTTATTTAAAATTTAAATAAATAAATAAATAACGTGAATCACANTTATTTACATTTATTTTTTAAGTATAAATGATTCATTTACTTTTATCCATTATTATAAATGAACAATAAAACTAAATTAACACCCCTAGTCTGAACTAGTTCTGATGTTTATTGACTGAATAGTGAATTTTTTAATAGAAGGTGAAACAGCTTGAAAACCCAAGTTTTCGTAAAACTCGCTTTTCGATAGACTTTTACACCTTTTTCTAAAAGCAAATATTGGCACAAAGCTCAGCATGATCGATTACCTATAGTCCGTTCGTTTCCAAGGCTACCAATAGTCACCAGGTACCAACTCGCAGAAAATCTGACACAACGCCCGGGCCGCGGAAAATCAAGGTCTCGCTTGACTGTCATTTTGAAGAGGATACCTTGGCTTATCATAGCATGGAAGAAAATCAATACAATCCTATTGAAAAATTTCTACACACGGTAGCGTTTTATAAAGATCTCCTAGAAAACCTGTGTCAGAAACACTTTCCAAAAAGGTCACTCTTATATATATTTATATAAATTGAGTAAATAAATATATATTAAATAAATTATCCATCAGATGGTGCTTTTTAAAACACTGTAAAAAGTGCCATTTGATGAAAAGCGCATATACTGTGAGAATGAGTCTGTTGGGGTGGCAATAAGTCTTCCATATAGACATTACCCTTCATAATTTTGAAGAAAACGCATAGCCAATGAATTTCAAAGTGATTG